AGCTTTTTTTTAAAGATACCATGAACTGAAAAGTTTTGCTACTGCTCTCAACATTGCTGCCCTGAAGTTAATAGCGCTATCGACAAAGCTCAGTGGGAAAACGTTTGTGATGGACTACTTTCTGGAGGATGATCGTGCCATGCTGACTCTTGACTTTGAAAATAAATAGGCAATGAGGAAATCCTGATTTAGGTAAAAACATTTTCATTGAACCAGACATTGTAGTCATCTGATGACAAAGATGGGGAAGAAACTGTGTCGTTTTCACGGAAGAAAGTTGACAGAGTTTTGAAATCTGTGGAATGCCCGGTGGAAGCAGAGACATGATTGCAAATGCGGAGAGAGTCCAAAGAGAACACAGAAAAGAAGGCTGTGTATAAAACACCTGCCTCCGGATTACATCTTCAAACTAAGGCAACCATGGCATCCATGACAGAGGGAAAGTGTTTGTCCATGTATATGGGTAAGAGTCTAGCTAATTTTCGATATAAGTTTTATTTTTCGAAAGTCGTTTTCATTGAGTTAAAGTGTATGTTAGCTAGCTAGCTAATGTAACTGGCTCATAGTACGTACGTGTATGATCTGTGTAGGAGTCTAGAAGAGCCCAAGGATTAGGAAAATTTCCCCCCCCCCCCCCCCAAACCCAACCCCCCCCCCCCAAAAAAAAAAAAAAAAAAATTTTAAAGGGTTTTTCCCCCATAGGTGAATCACCTTTTTTGGCTTAAGCGTCGCAAAAAAAAATTTAAAAGTAATGACTTTCAAAATTTTTGGGGAAACCCTTTCCCCAACTTTTTTAAAAAAAAGAACTGAAAAAATTTTCCTCCTTAAATTGGCCCTTTTTTAAAAGGAAACCTATAAAAAAAAGGGGGGGGGAAAAATTTTTTTTTTTTTTTTCCCCCCCCCCCCCTTTTTAAAAAAAATTAAAAAAAGGGGTTTTTTTTAAAAAATTTTTTTTTTCCCCAAAAATTTTTATTAAAATGGGAAAAATTTTTTTACGGAAAAATTTTCAATTTTAAAAACGTGGGGCCCGGGGAAAAAAGGGGGTAAATTCCAAAAGGGGAAAGTCCAAAAAAAAAAAAATGTTTAAAAAAAAAATTGCCCCCCTTCTCTCCTAACAAAATTTTTCATCCCTTTAAAGGGGAAAATTTTTTTATTAATTGGAAAATTGGGGAATTTTCAATTATTTTTTAATTTTTAAAAGTGTTTTTTTGCGGGAAAAAGGGGTTTTTTTTCCCTTTTTACCCTTTTTTTCTTTTCCCATTTTTTTTTTGCTTTCCCCTTCCCTTTTCCCTTTTTTTTGTTGGGGGTTTCCCCTTTTTTCCCCCCGGGGGTTTTTTTTTGTTTTTTTTGTTTTTTGGTTTTTTCCTTTTTTTTTTTTTTAAATTGGGGGCTTTCCCCCCCTCCCTTTTCCCGTCCCCTTTTCCCGTCCCCCAAGTTTTTTCCTTTGTGAAAAAAAACTTTAATTTCAATAAAATTTTGGTTTTTGGGGGTTTTGGGGAAAAAATAAAACCCCTTTGGTTAACCCCGGCTAGAAAAGTGGGAAACTTTTTTTCAGAAAAAATTTTAAATTTAGTTTTTAAATTTTTTTGATCCCCGTGACCTTAAAAGAGGGGGGGTGGGAAGGCCAAAGGGGAAGAGGTGGTTGTAAAAAAACCTCTCCAATTTAAAAACCCAACTTTCACCCCCCAAAAAATTTAAAGGGGAAAGATTTTTGTAGTCATCTGATTACAAATGGAGAACTGTTCGTGTTTCACGAATAAGTTGACAGCGTTTGAAAGTCTTGTGGATGCCCTTTGAAGCAGAGACATGAATTGCCAAATGCGGAGAGGAGTCCAAAAGGAGAACACAGAAAGAAGCTGTTGTATAAAACACCTTGCCTCCCGGATTACATCTCAAACTAAGGGCAACCATGGCATCCCTGCAGGGAGAAGTGTTTGTCATGTATATGGGAAGAGTCTAGCTACATTTTCTGATATTATATATACGTTTCTAATTTTTGTCAAAAGTCGTTTCATTGTCAGTTAAAGTGGTACCTGTTAGCTACTACATGTTCACTGGCTCACTGAGCTAACGTACGTGGTATGTTCTGTGTAGGAGCTCTAGAAAGAGGCCCAAGTTCCCGAGTTGGAATTCTGAGTTGGTCGACCGTCGAATCGATTTTTCCAGTCTGAGTATATTTTTTTTAGTTTTTTTTGTTGTTGTTGTTGTTTTGAATACGGCATTAGATATGGGATTATGGTTAATTGTTTAGCTAGCTAAACAAAAGACTCCACTATGCAAGTAACAATTTCACTGTACCGTTTACAGCTTCTGTATCCTGTGCATGTGACAAATAAACTTAGATTTCATTTGATATATTGTGTGTTACCAGAGACGGTAATGTGAAGAATAACACGACCTGCCACCAAAGTCAGATTAGGATATAAGCCAAGGACTAGATAAAGTGTATTTTTATTACTACTTTTTGCTACTACTTTCACCACTTTTAGTCTTGAAATCTTTGGTTGTTTACTACACTGTGAATCCTTAAAGAGATGGGTGGGGCTAAGGCTTAAGAGGTTGTGAATGATGCTGAATGGTTGTAGACAAAGAAGACCTCTCCAGTAGGTGTACCAAAACTTTCACAGTTTATCAACTTTCAAAGAAGAATGACTTTCTCATTGTTCCTCAACTGCAGTATATGATATACACATTTCTAGCTCGGAGTCTCTACTTTTATCCAATGTAAAAAACACAATTTCAAATGTTGCTACATAGGACCGAATCCAGGTGGTGGGTCACATTTGAATGCACAGAGATACCGTGACGAGAGCCCATTGTCGTGCCAATCATACGTCGCCATCACCTCATGTTTCAGCATTATAATGTTACAAGGATTTGTACACAATTCCTGGAAGCTGAAAATGTCCCAGTTCTTCCATGACCTGCATACTCACCAGACATGTCACCCATTGAGCAGGTTGGGATGCTCTGGATCGACGTGTACAACAGCGTGTTCCAGTTCCCGCCAATATCTAGCAAGTGGGACAACATTCCACAGGCCACAATTAACAGCCTGATCAACTCTATGTGAAGGAGATGTGTCGCGCTGCATGAGGAAAATGGTGGTCACACCAGATACTGACTGGTTTTCTGATCCACATTGCTACTTTTTTTTAAGGTATCTGTGACCAACAGATGCATATCTGTATTCCAAGTCATGTGGAATCCATAGATTAGGGCCTAATGAATTTATTTCAATTGACTGATGTCCTTATTTGAACTGTATATGAACTGAGTAACATTTTCGAAATTGTTGCATGTTGCGTTTATATTTTTGTTCAGTATAAATATTTATCAGTGAGTAACACTGATTCAATCAAACAGACATTGCAGACAAAACTACCATTGTTCCTGCACCACACACAAAAACACATTTGAAGGTTAACCGATGTGAGGTTAACCGAATCAGGCTTTTTAGACAGTGAACATGTAAACTGTGGCCAAGAACAAACACTAAAGCTTAAAGCAGGAAAATATCACCAGTTTGGAGCTGCAAACTCCTGTCACATAACTTAAGGGGTCATCAGGGGTGAAAAACAAAACAAACAAAGCATATAAATAGAAAAAATAAATAGATCAATAATTTCCATGATAAAATATTTCAGTGGTCAGGATTCATCTATGGGATCACCTCATTGCTTATGTTTTGTTCCTTATTTGACGTTTTGCAGTTGTGAATCCAACCAGAGGAGCAAGTTATAAATGTAAAGATTAAATATGTCAACATTAAAAAACAACTGTTTCACTGCATCAAATTACCAAAAGATACAATCTCAGCATTGTAAGTGTATTTGGTACAATATCCTAACTAAATAACCATGTGCTTTCAACGAGTCCTATTCAAATAAGCACATGTGGTATGATCAAAGCTACATGCAGTCACAGTATCTGTCTCTAGGTCTGCATTTGAGAGAAGGTCCTGTGGCAGTGGGATGGCTCTCTCGTTTACTGTACAGGGATGAGCTACCAATACCACATCTGCAGTACCTCAGAGCAGCCTCCCTTCACCACAGATGTGCTCCAGTAGAAAATCTATCTGAATCATGGATACCATGCTTTTAAAAGTAAGCTTAGCATTCTTCCCCCAAATGGCACTGTTATTAGTAGTACAATAATTATTCTCAAATGCAGACTGTAAGAAGTGTGTGTACCGGGGTTTTGGCTACTGCTGGCTCCTCTGAGGTAAAGCACCACTTAGGATGTCTCAAGCTTTACCTCTGGGATATCAAACAGAGGTATACTGTGATATAACACAATGATCTTCTACAAATATATCCCATTTGAAAGCTAATTTGTTCTAAAAAGAAAAATCAGGGTGTAAGGACCACTTGAGTTATGTGGTGTGGCTGGTTCGGCTAGCATGCAGTTCAGTTCTCTGAGTGAAAGAGTGCCTTTAATGCCTTTAAAACTGCTATCACTTCACTACCAATGTCTTTAATACAGAGTGTTGAAAACCCAGTGAATTCAGTGTTCGCACCACTAGGTTCAATGGTGTCTGAGCATTGGCCAGTCAATATCAGCATGGTGACAGACAGGTCTTCATCTTCACTGTGATTCACCCCTTAGTCTGACTTCTGATCTGGCTTTAGGTTCACCAGTTCTCAAAGTCCACACTGTGCAGGTCACACAGACAGCCACACTGGTACTCTACACACACAGTACAGTAGGGTCCCCTAAAGGAGGACATGACAGAAGCTAACAATCTGATGGATGGGAGGTGGGTCCCAGCTGACATCATATAGGAAGGGTGGGAGGATCTGAGTTAACCCCTCCCTCTCTTGGCTCAGTCAGCTGGCAATGGACTCCCTGCAGCCCCTGGGCCCTCGACCTTAAGGGGTCCCTGGTCCCCGGTGATGAGCGGAGCAGGCTGGAAGCCCCCTCCTCTGTGGGGTGAAGGGCTGGGTGGTGGAGGATTGGACTAGGCTGGACAGGGGGTGGAGGCAGTGTCCAGGCTGCTGTTAGACAGCAGACAGCTGAGTGGGCTTGGAGGCCGGCAGCTCCAGTAGAGCCTGAACGGTCATACCCACCTTCACCAGCCCACGCTCCTCTAGGATATGGTGGGGCAAACACAGCTTGTCCTGCCAGGGCAGAAACACAGCAGACAGTCATCACCGGTCCTTTCAAAACACTTTCAGGTCAGTACAAGTGAATTGACGTTTGGGTGCCAGTCTATTTCTTTGTTAAAATACATTGTTGGCAAGACAACAACAAGGCAGTTGTATAAACCAAAAATCAAGTTCAACCTATCCTCTTGAGGTTTCCACATTAGGTTCAGGACTCAAACAGATGTTCTCCTGATAAGGGAGGCGTATCAGATCTCTTGCTGGTGACTGAGAGGACTGATGGCAATGATAGACAGTAGTGATTTGGTGATGTGCGTTTACCTGTGGCACACCCAGCTTCTTACAGGCATCCAGGAAGTTCTCCACATTCCTGCGGCACTTGGCCATGCTAAGCTTTGGCTGTGGAACAGAGTTGGTCAATAGTTACATGGAATAAATAAAAAAGCAGAGAAATATGATACTTATTTGTTCTAAATATTATTTGCTTTTTTTTCTTCTTGGCAGGTGGTTTGCTTCGGCTTTGGGGATTTCAAACAACAGGTTTTCAACTGGTACTTACCACTGCTGGGGAGGGTACATGGATGCTGGCCACCGACCGAGGACGAATGTGATTGGCCAGATGGCACAGGACAACGCCATCCATTAGAGCAGCTCCGACATCGTCCGGCAGTAAGACCTTCAGTCTGGACTCCAGGTTCTGAGAGGAGTCACAGAAATAACACATTCAACATGGATCCTGTAGAATAGATGACTGTGGAATACTGTACATCACCTATTGCAACCACTAAGGCAAGACATGTATGAACAGTCCTCTATAGGAGGCGTTTGGATATAATATATATATTAACAATATATGTCATTTAGCAGACACTTTTATCCAAAGTGACTTACAGACTTATGCATGACATGCCAACAACAAATTCTGAACCTACACATCCATGCATTACTGACCAAATTATGAAAGACAAGCATTGCAATTTTGAATTCCGTAAAATGAGTGTGGAAGAGGTGAAAAAAGTATGGTTGTCTATCAACAATTACAAGCCACCATGGCCATCTCTTCAATCTAAGCCTAAAGGAAAGTGTGTGCTCTCAGGCCTGGAGGGAAGCAAAAGTCATTCCGCTGCCCAAGAAGAGCAAAGCACCCTTTACTGGCTCAAACAGTCGACCAATCAGCCTGTTACCAACCCTTAGTAAACTTTTGGAAAAAATGGTGTTTGACGAGATACAATGCTATTTCACAATAAACAAATTAACAACAGATTTGCAGCATGCTTAAAGGGAAGGGCATTCAACATGTACGGCACTGACACAAATGTTGGCTGAGAGAAATTGATAGTGGAGCTTTTGAAATTATCGATCATAATCTGCTGCTGGAAAAACGTTTGTGTTATGGCTTTACATCCCCTGCTATATTGTGGATCGAGAGTTACCCGTTTAACAGAACACAGAGGGTTTTCTTTAATGGAAGCCTCTCCAACACAATCCAGGTAGAATCAGGATTTCAATCTTTAATAATGACCTGCCACTGGCTCTGAGTAAAGCCTGTGTGTCTATGTATGCTGATGACTCAACACTACACGTCAGCTACCACAGCATCTGAAATCACTGCAACACCTACAGTGAGGGAAAAAAGTATTTGATCCCCTGCTGATTTTGTACGTTTGCCCACTGACAAAGAAATTATCAGTCTATAATTTTAATGGTAGGTTTATTTGAACAGTGAGAGACAGAATAACAACAAAAACATCCAGAAAAATGCATGTCAAAAATGTTATAAATTGATTTGCATTTTAATGAGGGAAAAAAGTATTTGACCCCCTCTGTTAGATTAATTTGGATTTTAAGAATAATGACTAAAGGATTTCACCCCAAATACAGTATAAATGTTAGAATTATCATGTAGTGTCAACCCACTAACAGAGGGGGCGGTACTAAACATTCAAGGGTGAAGGGGAAGGCGGAAACTGTCTAGAAAACCCACCTAAAGGTGGGAGGAGTCAAGTCCAGGAGGTATAAAATCGTATGTTTGTGTCTTTGGCGCCAGAGCTCTCCATGAATAAATATACAGATAATACTTGTTGGTTGTGGACCTTGAATCATTGATGATTAAAACCAGAGCCTTACAACCTCTGGTAATGATTCAAGCTTAGGTTGAATTAGAGATAGAAATTCACATGACAGATTGGTCCTTTGAGCGGAGCTTAAATACGTCTTTATCGTTCTAAGGACACCGAAACCCGTGCACGGGCGGGTGATAGCATCCGTGAAAGAGTCCTGGCCTTCGACGTTAAGGTTATAAACAGGCCGGTGATTACTCTTTATGAACGATAAAGACGTTAACGAGTTTGAAAAAGCATTTAAATCCAAACTGCAAGGAAAAGGTCAGTAATTTTTATTCATGGATTTTGGTGAAATGATTTAAACTTGTATAAGAATAGGAATTCTTGTAGAGGGCAGACAATAGTTACCAAAATCTCAAAGGAGGTAATAATTATTACGACGGGGGAGGGTCCGAAAATGACCCTAAGTAAATAGCTTTTACAAAAATAAACTAGTCCGAAATGACATGGAGTGAAGGGTATTCACCAAGGTAAACTAGTTAATATTGTCATTGTGCGAGATGCAGTGTAACAGTATAAACAGGGAGATAATTATCATCGTGTGAGATAGATGAGTCGGGAGTAGCGTATACGACTGGGGATTTGCTAGAACTTTGCAAATAAGTTTAGCAAATGATTGTATAAGGTCGTATATGTGTGAGACTTAATCCATCGGAATACGTGATAATTGTTTCAAGGAAGGAGCTAAAAATAAGTCGCGTGAGAAAAAATGGTTAACTTACTCTTTTCATGAAACCGGAGTTTTAAATAAAAACTCTGGGTTAGGGGTTAAATAATTTTAAATGGTTAATTACAAAAGCAGATCATACATTGGCTCAAGAGGCGCACTAAGATATTAGCTCCTACGAAAATAATTCGGGATTGAATTATTTAAAAAAAGGGGGGGGGGGGATTTCTTATTTTTCCACCATGGGAAATAAATCTTCTAAAGAGGTCCGAGAATTAACGGGGGATGAAAGATATATGTTAGGAAGAGATCGAATAAATATGTTTTATGGATCCATTTGGGAGAAGAGGTATGAATTTATTGGGCATCTCGAAGTAAAAAAGTTAGAAGTTATATGGCAGATGCATGTGAAACGGATTTGAAAAAACAGCGAAAGGAGGGGCTAGAAACAGCGAGTGTTTTTTTTTTAAGCGCGAAAGTGCTTTAACGGTAACAAAGGAAAATGTTTGAAAAAATGATTCGTGTCAATTAAGAATTGGCTAAAAACACCACAAAGCGATTATTTGAGAGGTACCTATAAATTCCAACGATGCATATGTATGAACTTTCGCACTCAAACGTAGACGTACATCATGAGTGAGAAAGTAGAGAATATTTACATTTGCATTTTTGGTCATTTGGCAGACGCTCTGGTCCGGAGCGACTTGCAGAACCAATAGAGGGTTGCATTGAACTATTATGTTGTGTTGGGCATTTGAATGGCATAAGGTGAAATATGTGTGTATGAGGGAAGTCAACGGCTGGGATGAATGGTAACCGGATACTACTTAGTATTTGGTTGGTTAATGCTAAAGGGAAGATTTGGAGCGTGGTTGGGGGTTAAAAACTCACTTATTCAATAGGGAATGGGTGGAGAGAGAGAGAGTTTTTACGTGTATTAAAAGTTGCATAAGATAGCTTTAGTAGTATTCTAGATAGGTCTATGAAAACATGTTACAAGTACGAATGACATTATGGAATATCATCCTTAAGTGTATGCTTATCAACGATATCAAGTATTTGTTTTATTGATTAGGGCCGAATCAGAGAGAACAGTTGAAGAAATTGGATGGCGAACTGAAGTAGCGATAGAGCTGTGAGGGTTGAGTTTGAAAAGGAGAGGCAGAGACAGACTTAGAGAGACAGAGGAAGTTAGAGAGGGAGAGAATAAAATAAATAGAGAGAAGGAAACTGTTTAGGTTTGAAAAACAAGCAGGCTGATAGACAGAGACAACAGTTTCTGGAGCTTGAAAAGCAGAGACTAACAGAGTAAGAAAAGGAACAGACGAAAGCAGAGTATTTAATGGCCACTAGGGGAAATAGCTGGTAGAGGTAGAACTCCAGAATAGAAGGGGAGAGAGATTTTACTAGGGGGTGAATCAAATAATTGATAATGGATCATTTGAAATGAGATCACATGTAGCAGATTTAGGGTAATCAATTAAATAATAATTAAATAATCATTGTATACTCAAAGAATTTTGAGTGGTTTTATGGATTAGTTATAAGGAATTAGATTGATACAAACATTATTGATGGGTTAGGACTGGGGATATCTGTATCATGTTTTGTGTGTACTACCATCTTTAGATTACGGATGGTAATTGAAGGTTAACAAAATGTATAACCAGGAGAAAGAGATTAGCTTATCTCATTGGAATATTGCTCAGGGCAAGGGGGAGCAGTAGTGAAGTTAGGCAGTATTTAGGTCATAAGAGGGAGCTACCAAATTAAGTTGAGCCTAACTATCTTTGATTGTTATTTTTCAATTGGGTTTTTCAACAAAAAAAAACACACCCAGCATGATGTTTATAAAGGGTTGTTATGTTGAATTTAGGGGATTTTCAACAGTTCATAGGTGGTGTTTACTATGCTGTGGGATGGAACGGTTTATTGGGTGATATTTGAAACTAAATTAATGGAATAAGCTGCAGTAATCAGAGGAATGTACAATCTAAGGCGAGACAACTATTGCCTAGATCATTGATTTAGCAACAGGATCAGGTAGATAGGGACTAGAGGAAGAAAAAAAAATTAGATGAAGAATGATGTTTTTTTTTGGTGGGCTATTAGAGATAACTGGGTTAATCACGAACATAGAGGTTTTTATTCTTTGTTGCTAGGCAGAACACTTAGGTGACCTAAATATGGACTTGTCATGTCCAACAATCAGTCTTCAGGTCAAGCCCGGGAGAGCCGGGGTAGAACAGAGGTTGAACTAAACATAAGTGTTTTTACAAGATAAGAGATTAATTGATTGGATTACTAATTGATTCTGAACTGAATGAAAGTCGAATTTAGCCGCCATAAAAGACAAAGGAAGTGGGAGGAGCAATAAAAAAGCAAAAGACAATCTCAAAAATGAAAGGCATAGCAATTGGTTGATAAATTACCTAAGGGAATGTTTAGAAAGGTAGTAATATTGACACATAAGCAGAACTATGTGTCAAGAGGGGGGAAGAGGCTAATTGTAGGATTAAATAATATACGAAGGAGAGGACAAAATACTAAAAAAACAAACATTTTTTAGATACAGTCTAAAAAGAGAATGCAGTCAGAAATTGTTAGATTAATCTGAACATGTGTGAAGATAGTTTATTAACCACACCCGTATGTCAGAGGTTTTGTGCCCCACAGGTGAACTAAAGGAGAAGGTGACCCACTATCTAACCAGGTGACTGGTGAGCATCCAGTCACTAGAAGGAAAACTGGAAGCAGGCCTGTTGGGAAGGGCCCTATCAGGTTATGTTGGTCACCGCCTTGGCCATTAGAATAGCAGAGAGAGGAACCTGGGTCCATGTTACCCACTGCAAGAAGGTAAGACCACATACAAGCACCACTTAGCACACGCAGAGTTTGGCGAGCAGAACTGCGCCACAGGGTCCGGGGGTCACC